TTGCATTGAAATCTAAGTCTTACAACTAAAACTTAAACACAAATACAAAGTACCTGATGTCTTCCCCTTGAGCAAATTTCCGGAGTTTCCTTCCAGGAATCTCCAAACTCTTACACAACAATTACTCACACACACTCACACACATTAAAAAGAACACTAAAAATCTCACTAAAAGTCCTCTCCCATGCCTTCTAAAGTCTCTAAAAGTCTTTCTTTTTCTGCCAAAATGTTTTCATTTAATAGATCTCTGAAAATAACCAAGAGTTGTTTCAAACGCCTTTTCAAATTTCGGTTTAATAGATCTCTGAAAATAACCAAGAGTTGTTTCAAGCGCCTCTTCAAATTTTGACCAAATTCAATGTATCTTTTAGAAGGGTAGTTACTGGCGCTATAGCGCCAAGATGCGGCACTATAGCGTCGAATTCGCATGTAGGGTGCTACTATGGCGCCAAGGGTGGCGCCATAGCGCCACACAAAGTAGCCCAATTTTGCTCCATTTTTCCCTCATTTTCTCTAAATATTCATTTCATGTAGCTGAAACCAAAAACATGTAAAATATCTTCCTTTAAAGTACAATATCATAAAAAATGTACATAAAATGCTTATAAAAGTGCACTAAAAACAGGTAAATTTTAGGTCGATCAGGATACTAGGATAGATTACATTTATCGTAGGATTAGCAAAGTCTCTTAAGAGTCTATGTATGTTATGATGTTCACGGGCCTCTTAGTTATTCTAGGCATTATTTGTCATTTTTCCCAAAAGTTGTTGAATTCTTTTTTTCTGATTTTATTAACAGTTCTCCAAAGCTTAGATGCGTAGGGTTCAAGCTCTAAAGATCCTACACTACGCATACACCAATCAGGTTCACAAGCAGGAGACTCCATGCTAAAGAAAATAACAAACAAGATAAAAATAGACAATAGATATTATGCAGCAGAAAGAAAAGAAACACGTGAACAATTAAACAAATATTAAACATGATATTTTTGAATTTTAGTAAAAAAAATAATATAAATACAAGGAAAAAGAAATAATACAATTTTTAAATCAAAGACCTAAAAGTTCAACTAAAATTTTCATACATTAAAATTTACTTTCGTTCATCAGCAATAGCGCCAAGAACTTGACGTGCACCAAATGTTACAAAGCACGAGCTGCTCACATAAGTATATATGGCGTATCAATAATACCATATTTAAGTTCGGTTGTCTATCCCATAGGGAATAAGGAAGTCTCAATGAAAGAAAAGTTCTAGCCTACTATTATCGGTTCAAGCTTGAAATGTTCAAAATGTAAGTTAAAGTTTTAACTAATCCTTAAGTTATGAAAAACTAATCTAATCGAGCAACCAGAAGAATGCTTGTAAGAAATTCAAGTCTTAAGAAGTTTCCCCTTAAATTGATTTTAGTGGAAAATATAAATTGAACACGTGATTAAAAGTTAATGTCAAACAAGAGTTGGCCTGTCCTTCATCCTCTTCTGGTGGTCTAAGGAAATTTGACTGACAAGAGTTTAGTTCCCTAAATCCCTTAACCAATCCAATTAAATTAACTTCTTGAATGTAAGCATAACCTCCTAGATCATATGTGGTTAACTTCTATCATTCGACTATGTATTCTTCCGCATTGCATAATTCACGATGGATGTTAACATTCTTACCGGACAAATAGGAAGTAAATTTAATTGAAAGCTAACCCAACCTTACTTTAATCAATTATCAACAAAAACACATAAAAATATTTCACTCTATTTCTTATCAACAAAAACACATAAAAATATTTCACTCTATTCTACCACCACTCAATTCATGGCAGAAATAAGAAGGTATACTCATTTTTCTTCAAGAAATACATCCTTTCTACTTAAACTTTGAATTAAACAATGATATCAACCGCAGAGTTCTATACAAAAAAACCAATAGAATATCCAAAACAAAATGTACTTATCTCCCTCCTTTTCAAGCAAGATGGATGAAGAGAGCCAAACAAAAGTTATGTCTCTTGATCCTCCCCAATCTCTCCTTTCTTCACATACAAACTCCTTGCATAAAATCTCTTGACTTTCCCATCAATTCGTCTCTCAAGAAAATGACAGAAAAACAAGTGAAAGGCCCCCCTAAAATTTTGCTCATCCAATTTATACATCCACCAAATAATCTGAAATAGTCTGAAGCATCAAATTGCAATAACCAACAATATTCGAGTGGCAACGTCCGAGCTCTCATAGGTAGCGGCACAACACTTCATTCTTCTGTTCTGGTGCTGGTGTCGGGGCGCCTAGGCGTTGCCATTCTAGCTCCGCAACACCCAATCTCCAATGCCGGGTTTCCGTGCGTTCGGTATTTTTCTATCCAAATCTGGTGCCTAGACGTTGCAAGATGGCACTTCAACTCTCCAAGTCCAACGCGAAGTTTTGGTATGCTCTGTAATTGTGCTCCATAAGGCCAGTGCTGGGGCCGGAGCGCCAAGTCCCAACGCCTAGGTGCCAAAACTTCAATTTGCTTGAATTGCCACTTTGTGAACTGAGACTGCTCACTCTACCTGTTTCATGCATTTCAATACAAAATATCTTCCAAAAATATAATATAAACATACAAAAAAGACATAATAAAGACGATAAACAAGCACATTGAATATATACAAATACATTAATGTCCTATCAACCATAAGTCATAATATGTATATCCAATTAGAATATAATATAAGTGTGCATTAATTGCTCCTCTTTTTTAAAATAAAAAAGTGCTCAGCAGTGCTTGCCTTTGAAAGGAAACCTTTAGTTATCCTTTTGAATCGTTCTTCAAGTTGTGATGGAGCTAATTTTTTTAATATGAATATATAAATTAATTTATTTTAAGCATTAATTAATTTTTTTAATATGAATATATAAATTAATTTATTTTAAACATTAATTATTCCAATTTTCTATGTTATCACTATTAAGTAGTAATTAAGTCCACCATTATGATATTAATAATTTTTTTTAATCTAAAAATAATATTCCTTATAAAGGGTTGAACTATAAGGTACATTTAGATACTTACCACCCAACTCTTATGTATTTACATTTCTAATTTTTCCTTTTAGGTTTATATCATCCAAAATTTTCATATCATATAAAAATATTATGTATGTAAGAATTTGAAGTTTATGTGTTTAAAATGTAAATACTTAGAAATTGAGTGGTAATTATGTAAATCTTCCGATTTTTTTGTTATACCCTCTTTTTTTTTCAATGTAAATAATTAGCAATTAATTACATGTTATTAGTGTTATCAGTGTTATTCTGCTGTGTTACACCGCGGTGTTATTAGTGTTATCGGTGTTATTCCGCTGTGTTACACTTCGGAATAACACCAGTAACACCGCGAATACCACCTGAATCACACTGCGTTGCTATTTTGGGTGCTATTCCGCAGTGCTACTCGGTGTTGTCCAACGGAATAACACTAATAACAACGTGTAATATTGAGTATATTTATATTTTTATTTATTAATTAATTTATCTATTTCTTTTCGAGTCAATTCAAACCGAACATGAGCGAACAAATATTTGTTCGTGTTCAGCTCGTTTATATTTTGAATTTAAAAATTTATTCGTGTTCACCCCAACAGTTAAAGAAATAGAAAAAGAACTGCCTATCAAAAACAGAAAAAATCCTCATCTAAAAATGCAAAAAGTAGCTGAGATTCCTGCGACTTTATACAGCTCATTGGCCTAAGTTTTCCAAATTTAAATAGTATTGACTAAAAATTCCTTTAAAAAAGATTTTTTTTTGGTTGAATTAATTATACGTGAATTTTATATAGATATACTATTTCTATCATTTTATAATTATCAATTTTATTTTTAGTTCACTGAACGGCCGCACCGCTCGTTTCATTAAACGATACGTTTTGTAGTTAAATTGTAGTTAAAGGAAACATATTCGACATAATTATCTTATAAGAAAATAAAACAGTTTTCTTAAAGCAAAATTATATGTAAATTTCGCTGAACACGTAAGAACATAGTTAGTAATTAATCCATTTACATCATTGTCACCTAATTTCTATATATTTACATATTTAAGAAATAAATGGAATTTTTTACATTTATACCGCCAAACTCTTTCATATCATTTCAAAACATATCATTTTAATTTTTAATAATTAAAATATTTATTTTCATGCATGGGAAAGTGTCATGTACTTAACAGGTGAAGTTTAGGATTTAAGACATGTAAATACATAAGAACTGAGTGGTATGTATGTACATTTCTTTTATAATTTTATCATATATTAATTAAATTAATATGCATCAAATATTTACATTACCAATATATTAAAATCAATACATTTACAATCATTGAATTTCTTTTCAAAATAGATATAATATATAATAAATTGATAAAAAGAAATATATTATATTTATCAATATGTGAATTATAAATTCATTTTAATTATAGTCCACTTATAATATTATAGAGAAAAAAATTGATTTGCAGGCTAAAATTTTCCCAAAAATAAAATTATAAAAAGATTGAAATAAAATGACATGGAGTAATTTTCTATCCAATCGGGCTCCGTTAAGTGGACAGCATACCGACCACAAATTTGGTGGGCTTAATTGTGGGTGCAAAATCTGCTACAAAGGAAATAACGCCTTATTGTCAGGCAGCCAGGTTGTTATTCTAAGTCCAAAAAAAGGTCCCCAACATTCACACGTGCGATGTGTACTTTCTGCCATCCTTAATTGGGTTAATTATCATATTATATTATGCTCAACTCAGTTAATCAAATCAATTATAAAGAAACAAAAGAATTTTATCACAATTCCCCAAAGGGAACATAGTAAAAACAAGGGTTATTTACATAGGTGCCACCCAATTCCTATGTACTTACAATTTTAACACCTAAACTTTACTTTTTACATTTATACCACCCAAATGTCTCATTTCACATAAAATTGCCACTATTTTAAGTTTTTTTGTTTAAAAATGTAAAATACAACTTTTCATTTATATGCAGTGGTATATACATGCCTTCTTGCCCCACGTGACCGTTTTGATGCTGCCGCGGACGACTCCCACGATTCGGCTCAACGGCGCCTCGGCGACCTGTTTCGTTTCGGATTCGAAGGTAGAAGAAGACGGAGGAGATGGAGGAAGAAGAAATAGTCCCACATCTCGAAAGGCCAAAAATGGAAATCCGGGAGGGAGTACTTACGAGCATGAAGGAACACAGAGAGTGGCAAACGAGGCAAAGTGGGTCGAGAAAAGAGCATCTTGCCGGTGGGACGAACCTCGCAAGACTTCTCTAAAATCTCCACGGCGTCTCTGTCTCTCTCCGGTTCGAATTCTCTCACCAAAACTTTTTACTATTTCCTCTCTCATTTCAGTAGCAAGAGATGGACAGTCTGTGTGTGTTCGTCTCTCTCTCTCTCTCTCTCTCTCTCTACATCTCTCTCTAGATGTAGTGATGGAGAAGAGATTTGATGGGGGTCACTTTGGCCGTTTAGGTTGCTTGAAAACCTTAATTTAACAAATTCAATATAGTTTTTAGTAGGGTTTTCGACATTGTTAATAAATTAAATTTATAAATTGTACTTAAAATAAAATTAAATTAGATCCACTAATCTATCTATCCCTTGCCCTCTCCCGGTACAAAAATTTATGTTTCTATTCTGCATTTCCATTCTCTAAATCTAAAAGTTGTTTGCAGTAGTTGGGTTCCGCACTCACAGTTTGAAATTCTTGTATATATTTCCGCAATCAGAAAACAATGGAATCCTATGAGCCTAAAAGCATCCTCATCACCGGAGCGGCTGGTTTCATCGCATCCCATGTTGCGAACAGGCTTATCCGAAATCACCCCGATTACAAAATTGTGGTCCTGGACAGACTCGACGATTGCTCCAATCTTAAAAACCTTTCCCATTCTGCATCTTCCCCCAACTACACGTTCGTTAGGGGCGACATCACCAATACTCATCTTCTCCGCTCCCTTCTCATATTGGAGTCAATTGACACCGTAATGCACTTTGCAGCTCAGACTCACGTTGGCAATTTTTTCTACAACCCGTTGGAGTTCACTAGAAGCAACGTCTATGGAACTCATGCTCTGCTTGAGGTCTGCAAGGGCTCCGATCTAATAAAGAGATTTATCCACGCTAGCACAGGCGAAGTTTATGGGGAGACCGATGATAATGCCATCGAAGATTCCATGCTCCTCTCTACGAACCCTTGTTCGGCCATCAAAGTCTGCGCTGAACAGCTTGTAATGGCTTATGGAAGTACCTATGGCCTATCAGTCATAATCACCCGTATTAATAATGTGTATGGACCGAATCAATTTCCCGAAAAGCTGATTCCAAAGTTCATACTTCTGGCAATGAGAGGTCAAACTTCCCTACAGTTGGGTCTCAGAATAGATGTAAATACCCATGTTTTTTTGTCCTAACTTAATCATGTTGTTCATCGCTTCAGTTGGATGTAAATCAACATTATTTGTTACCTAAATGTGTTCGGGTGAACTAGAAGTCTCCAGCATATCACAAACATCACAGTTAACAAATGTCTAATCCTTGGGACTAGATTGAATGCTTCCCTTCAATGAAAATATGCATGTCATACTATGAATAGTTCCCCACATATATTGGGGGTCCATTTATTGACCTCATTTTTCGGTTAACCAACTTATGTTTAACTCAATATGCACTCATGGATCCTCTCTAGACCAGTGTGGTCATGCCTAATTTGGGCATACCCACGCCTAGAAGTTCGTGGGTGTGTTCACACCACAATTAGGGGTAACTACATAGAGAATTCTATGGGCATGTTCATGCTTGGTTTGGGCGTGATCATGCCTGAATGCTTCTTAGCATGGTCGCACCCAGTTTAGGTGAGATCACACCTAAATGTCTCTCAGCATTGTCATGCCCAGTTCAGGTGTGACTACTCCCAAATGTTTAATAGTGTCATCACACTTGATGCTCGCGTGGTTGCATTTATGAGCCACGCTAGCGATACGTGGCCTTCATCCATGGAATCGAGATCGTGCACATCGAAGTGGCGACCACAGAGGCCTCTGCCATCACCTTCCCAGCTTATAAATTGGTGGCCCTTCCATTATCTCTGGGCATGCTTGAACACTTCAGACTACTCAAAAAGTGAAGAAGAAAGTCCTCCGGCAAGTCTCTATTTCCGACCAACCTTTTCTCCGGTAAGCTTTCTCCCTTCCCTTTTTTTTTAAATACTTAGTTTAATTTAAATCTTGGTTTAAACTAATGCATCTCAATAGCCTTGGATTAAGCTTGGCTTTGGATCCAACTCAGATTACCCGAACCTAGCTTAACCCTAACCTAAACTATAGTTAGGTCAAACCCAATCCAAATTTGACCTGACCCAAACCCAAACCCAAGCACAAAACAAGCATAACCAGACCCCAACTTGACTCAACTAACCCAACCTGACCCAAACCTCACCTAACCTGACCCAAACCAAAATTAACCTGACCCAAACATAGCCTAGCATGCCCCAAACTAAAGTTGATCCAAACCTAGCCTAACCTTACCCGAACTGAACTCATCCTGACCCAAACCAGAAACTAACCCAACCTAACCTAAACATAAACCAACCTGATCCAAACCCAGCCCAACTTCACCCAAACCTGACCTAACTAAAACCTGACCCAACCCAAGTCAAACTAGCCCAAACCCAATTTTAAACCAACTGACCCCATATCATATCTGATCTCAATTCTGAGCTAACCTGAGCTGGAAATCTAACTCAACTCAGCACAACCCTGACCCAAGTCTAATCGAGACTGAAAATCATAATTTTGTTTCACAAATAACGCATCATATTCATATTTCTTGTGTCGTTTCAGGGTTCTTTTATGTGTATTTTTAAAAATAAAATAAAATAATAAAAAAATACATAAAATAAAAAGAAGGAAGGGAGTCTCTTATGAAATGATTCTACCCACAAACACTTAAACTTTAAAAGCAAAGCCAACCTAAAAATTTAGGGGAACCTTGATTTCTCACCACGACCGACAAACTTAGAAAACAAAATAAAGAATGAATTAAATATTGAACCTCAAATAACATTTAAAATATACCAAGATAAAAAA